ATCGTGTTTTACAACAAATGGACAGAAAAAGCAGTTCAGTACATGATAACGTTATGTAGTAATTACTGTATTTTAAGAAATTAGGAACCAAAACATCACAATGTATTGAAACAGCTGTGGATCCAGGTGGGAGGCAGACTATGTTGGATAATACAGAACATTGGATGAGCGAAGGTTGGATAAACGAGACTCTACTGAACGTGCATTTGAGGTTCAGCGTTATAATTACGTTCATGTGTACAGAATAATTTAGAGGGACGGGCAAACTTGGGCCCTCCAGGTGTTTTGGACTTCAATTCTCACAATTCCTAATAGCCTACTGACTGTTTGTTAGGAGTTGAAGTCCAAAATACCCAGAGGACCCAAGTTTGCCCATGCCTACTATATAGTATGCTATTAGTATGCTAGGCAGTACATTTCAAATTGTTGCTAAAGGCCATCCTGTAGAGCCTTTAGTTCTGCTGATTGCAGCAGGGCAGAGCTCTTTGAATCTCAAAGCAAACTTGACCAACCCCTTTCTAATGGATTTTAGAGTAAAATTGTGAGCATGTTAGTAATACGTTGTCATTGTTGTTATATTAACCATGGAGTAAGTTTTAAAACATCATCTCCAGTACTTTTTGAGTGGGGAGTCTTACACAACCAAAATAGCATTAAGCATGCGTAACAAAGAGATCCCATTCTGTGTGGATTCATATTAATTGATCATGGAGTATGACTCATGGCAGGGAAAGAAAAAATGGATTGTTTTGTAATGGACTATCCTAGGAATTAGCATGGCTGCCTGGCTGGCTAGCATCCTGAACAGGGGCACCCAACCCTCACCTGTAATTTTGCATGATATCTTGTTGGAGCTAATTCCAGAAGAAGGCCATTAAGAAAAAAGCTGCACACCATGATGTATTTCCAATGTGACGGAGGCAGCAAAATAAGCCAGGTAGCAGTATTCACTTGCTTGTTTCATATGTTTTGCTTTGGCTTTGATTCCTGGATGGGAATTGGAGAGTTGGGCTGTCTGTGCTGGTACAGTCATAAGGGTGGAATATAATCAGCCTCCAAATTTGTCCTTTACTTGCATGCAATGAGTCATGTTCCATACATTAAGTGAGCTTTGCATTCAAGCAACATGCATCTATGCTTCAATTCTGTTTCCCTTTTTTGACATTGTGGTATCATTTTCCATATAGGAAAAATACTGTACCTCTTGTCATATTTTTACATAATGAAAGTCTGCAGTTGTCTCAGTTTCATTTCACGAATGTGAGATAAAATTGACATGTGTGTTTTAGCAGAAGACATGTTCATGTTTTTCCTTTCGTGTAGAGAAACAATTCTGATGGGAGTTGTGATACAGTAACATCTGGAAGGCTGCAGTTGGTTCTGTTTAGTCAGAATAATGGGGGTTGAATTTAGAGACAAGGCTTGTGGATATGATGTCAGGCTTTAAAATGTCCTTTAACCTTGCCCATCATCGGTGCCACAAGTGCCATTATCCCCAGTCCACATGGCAGATAATCAAAACAGATGGGAGCTGTTGTTCAGTAACTTCTGGGAATCCAAACTGGGTAAAAACTAAAGAGTGTTGATCACTATATGTTAGATTGATTGATAGATAGTTGGCCTCTGTCTCTATGGATTCTCCATACATGGATTGGAGGCAACCATATGGCTAATGTGGCCCTCAGCGAGAATGAGTTTGACACCTGATGTAAGTTGAAACACACTATGGAGAAACAAATCTCACTGTTTGGACTAATCTCACTATTGTCTTAGTATGATAGTGTTGAGTTGACACTCACGGACTGGGAAATTCATACGACCCATATGGATAATCCTTCCATTCCTTTTTTTGAAGAATAATTTCTGAGATATGCACCTTGTTATGTACCTGTTTGGGAGGAATGAATGAGGGACTGAACATGCTTGTTTTCTGTGGCCTTACTGAATGTACTTTATTGATGAGTATATAAAGAGGCCACTTCATTAAAAAAAAAAAAAAACCCAAATCTATTATGTTACAGTAAAACCAGAGAAATGCATTCATTGCAGTGTTTTTTCATGTAGACCCTTCTTTATCTCATCAGCATAAACCCACCCTTGAGTGGTTGAGTGTAAAATGCCTTCCTGGTTTCCTTGATGTGGTATCTGAGCTTCTCAAAGTCATTTTAAATCAAGAGAACAGTTTTCTTATTAAAAGTAAAAGAGGAAAAATAAATGATTTGAGAGGCTTCTTTGGAAGGTGAGCTGGACTCAGAATTGAGAAATGGAAAATAGGTGTGCCTCTATAACATAGCCTCATCATCCGAAGGCACATGCTAATAGCTTGCACTTACCTGTGGCGCGTCAGAATTCCTCCCTGAAGGGAAAGTTGTCTGCCAAGGATGAGAACACCCCAGGCATTTACGTAGTATGCAGGCGTGAGATGGGAGGAGTGCCTTGGGTTGGATTCTTGCACTGGATGGACTGCCTTTGGATGCCTTTGTGTACCATTCTTTTCAGGGTGGAGAAGTCGAAAAACAAATTGAAGGATGTTCTGCCCCAGAAGGGCATTTGTGTTACGATCTATAGCCCTAAGTGTAATTCAAAATAAATTCTATATAGATCTGTTATCAGCTGATTAGTCCTGATTCCAAGTTCCACAATAGAGTTCAGTTTTTGTTTACATCTGTAGTTGAATATGTTGACTGTCTAGAAAGACTTAGTCAGGCCTTCTTGCACAGATTCTGCATCTATGGATTCAACCACCCAGAGTTTGAAAATAATTTTTTTTTAAATTCTAAAACTAAATTCTGAATTTGCTATTTTATGTAAAGGATATATTTCTACTATGTAATTGTATACAATGGGACTTGAGTATCCCTGGGTTTTGATATCCATGGGGAGGTCTTTGGTCCAGCAGGCCCAGTGAATACTACAGGCCTACACTAGAGTAAACAAGACACGTGTCCCAACCAGAACAGAGAACGCTGAATATTTCTGCGGGCAAGTGGCAGAAGTGTGGTGTCAAAAGAGCAAAGTCTTCTAAGAGCAATTCAAGGCCCTTAAAGACAAAGCATAACCCCACAACTTTAGGTGGGAATGGGGTAGCCAGATGCCCTCTCAGATCAATCAGAAATTCACCCAGGAGGCTATCTACCCAGCCTCCTGGTTCCCCCTAAACTTACCAGAGAGACTGGCGTACGGAGGCAGGCCTGTGTAGAAGGGCCCTCAATTAAGATTTCCAGCAGAGTAGAATCATCTTAATAGTTTTCTGGAAAATGAATATAATTTTATTGTGTGTGTGTGTGTGTGTGTAACTTTGTGTGTAGAAGTACCTTTCAAGAACAAATAGAAGGGATTATTGGGAAGATACTCTGATTCTAAGGGCCACTCTTTGCTTCTATTCTCAAATTTCAACATAGATGAGAATCTGTGCCCTTTAAGCAATGGGGCTTTGAAGAGTGTCATTCTTTTAAAAAGTCACTTCTTTTTCAGGTCAAGGTGAAGGCAAACAACCTTAATGAGGAAGTGGACCTCTTTAGCAATGGTCGATGGAAAGGCTGTGTAGAGGTTCTCCAGATAATTTAGCTTAGTACATGGTTAATGATGCCAGTTAGAAATATATTTTGTCACCTTTTACAGATTGAGTATCCCTTATCTGGAACTCCCAATATCTGAAATGATCCACCAGAATAGCTGAGACAGTAACACTGTTGCTCTTTTGACGATTCCGTGTATGTAAACTTTGTTTAATACAAAAATTACTTTAAGATATTGTGTATAAAATTACTCTTGGGCTATGGACATAAGTGTTACAGAAAACATATATGAATTTTCTGATTAGATTTGCTTCTCATCTCCATGGTATTTCATTATGAGCATATGTGCAAAAACACCAAGAATCCAAAATCCAAACACATTTGGTTCCAAGCACTTTTATTAAGCCGTTCAATTTGTAATCAGAAATAAATAATCTTTCATTGTAAAATTATGGGCAGGTGGCTATTCGTCATTGTAGAAAAGAATTCCCATGACTCCAAAGTCCCGGATTGCGCTATTTCATCGGAAATTGGGCAAAACGAACACATTTCTCTCTGTGTGCATCCATGTATGCATGTACACATGCATAGCATTTTGATAACCTACAAGTATTTTAGGTTTTGTAATTGTTGAAACCATTATTTGTTGGCATAAAACATAATTTACAATAATAAAACAAGTACAACAAATTATTCATATTGCCCTTCACTGTGGCCAGGCTGCACCTCTGTGTTTGGTAAGGCACATAGAAGTTGTGACTGCGAGCTCCAAATTGCAGGGTAGACCATCTTTCCTTCCAGATCTACAGCAGGATCTTCTGTTCTGAGTTACTTGCTTGAGAAGCACCTGGATTGTATATTGTCTAGATGGCATTCTTTACCACCTTTGTATCCTATGTCAACTCAAGTTTCTTTTGTCATCAGACTATGGTATTCAGTGTGAATATCTTAGGAGATGACATGAAGATGGTTTCCTTCCCCTTTCAATGTTGTTGTAAAAAGAAAAAGATATTGTGGGTGCGTTCCACATACTACGCTGCAGTTTATTGCCATGTCACCCGCTTCTTCCTCTGGGTCTGTGAAAAGGAAACCAAGCAATGTCCCATCACTTCCTCAGCTTTAATATGTAGACCAACAGCTAGATATGGTCAACAAAACAATAGAGGAGGGATGTGCAGCTTCCATGCTCCTTCACAATGGGCTTCCCTGGCTAGGACTCAATGGGCATTGCTAAATCTGGAAAGCCACATTTGTCCAGCCCTGGTCTGCAATGTTGGGGGCAAGAGAGGATGTCAAATAAAGGTGGATACTTATGGTTACACATGGGACAGGGGTGAAGTGTAGGGTCTGTTTTGCTCGGTTTCACTTGACTGATAATTGGCCATTTTGAGTAGGAATGGAAGAAAGACATTGCAGTAGTTCCACACCGACCAAATATAGGAAACCTTACATTGTCATCTTCTTTCTCTTTTGGTTCTACAGATGTGCACACCCAGCAATACTCCAGCCACGCCTCCCAACTTCCCAGACGCTCTTGCCATGTTTTCCAAGCTGCGGACTTCAGAGAATCTCCAAAGTAGCAACAGCCCCATCACATCCATGGCCTGTTCACCTCCGGGTAGCTTCAGTCCCTTCTGGGCTTCCTCGCCTCCCAACCATCAACCTGCTTGGATCCCTCCGTCGTCGCCCACCAGTCACAATGTCCACCACCACCTCCATCATCAGCAGCCCATGTGGCCTCCAGTGTCCCAGCAAGGGGCCTCTCAGCAGAAAGCCGTGACGGCCATGGATGGCCAGAGATAAGACTTAATATTTTTAGAATGGGGGAAGAAGCTGTGTCAGGTGGGGAGGGGTTGACAAATCGGGGAGGGGTACACAGGGAATAGGGTGGGGGCCTCTTTTTCCCCCCCGAAGATCGCACTGGAATATTTTATAGTTTTTGTTTTTTAAACTGATGCAATGGCATCAGTCTTCCCCGTGTTCCATTTTTTTGGTCCTTCTTTTGCTTCTCCTCTTCTGTCCAATCTTCAGGAGAGTTAATAACTGGTCTCTTCGCTTTTTTAAAAAAGAAAAAAAGTATATATAACTATAATATATAAATATATAAATATATCTAATGTATATACATCACAGATGAAAGCAACGGGATTACCAAGATCCAAGTGGCATTCTGAGAACGCTGCTTGGAAAGAAGGGGGCTGCGTTGGATCCGGGTGTTGGGGTTTGTGGGGGTGGGGGTCTCCCTTGAAACTGTGTGTGTGTGTTGGGTGAAGAGAAGGGAAGGAAACTGGCCCTCCTGTATTCTTGTTGTCCTCTCATGCTTTTCCTTTTGGCTCCCAGTTGTAAGAGATGCTTGTAGCATCTGCAATAGTTATGGGGCTGTGGGGAATCTCTGGATGAAAGAAATCACTGGTCTCCCATGGCAGGCCTCAGATTTGGTTTGTGCACAGAGGCCAAGGGCGATAGTGAGCCTACTTGGCAGGGGCGTATAACCCACTGAAGGAACTCATCATCAGCCTTGCCCTATGGTTGGGAGGATGGTGTTACTTTTTTCGTAAGCGGTGGGAACTGCACCACAGAGCTTTCTGATGAGCCACATGAGGGGCTTGAGAAGAAATGATGGAACAGTGCAAAATGGCTGTGTTGTTAAATATATTTCTGGGACCCTCTTTCAGTAGCATGCTGAATTCTGCCCATGGTTTTATATACACAAGGAAGTGTATATGTTGCCCTGCCATCTTGGAGAGGAACCAGTATGTGAGCATGCTGGCAAAAGGTTTTTGACAGCCAGCCGTTCCTTCGTACGCATGTGCAAAGTATGTGTGTATGGGAGGGTTGTTTTTGTTTTATTTTGTTGTTGTTTTATTGTGGGTGGGATACCCTAAACCTTCTCCACCACACCCCAACTTTGGCTATTGAAACTTTTTTGAAGTCTTCAGCTGATGTGCCCCAAAGAGCTGAAAAGAAGCTATGTCTTACACCTTACCATGTACCTAAAATCTTTTCTCGACCTGCCCGCTTTTCCTGCTTTTCATTCTTGAGAATGGTTTCCCCCCTTCAGCTCACAAGCTCTTTCCCTTTCTAAAAGGACAGTGCGTTTGGGAGGCAAAGCCAGAAGGGAAGCCACTTAAATTTCTAAGATTATATATATATATATATATATTTCTTTAAATATCTTATGCACACACACAGATATCAGCCTCCCCTGAAGACAGATAAAAGAAGGAGGACTCCAAAATATTCCCATACAACCAAGGGCAGGCGAGATGTCGAGGCTCTTCTTCTTGGGTTTATGTTATTTTATTTTTTAGGTTTTAAAATCAGAATCTTGCTTAAAACAGGTTGAAGGTTTTTTATTAATTTAAAAATAAAAAAACACTTTTTTAATCTGACTGGTACTTGTTGTTTTTTTCCCCATCTCCACATTTCATTGCTGTATAAACTTCAAAATACAGAAAGGTCTGATGAATATGAATTACAGAGAAGAACTGGGGAGAAAGCCAAACACTCTTCAGACACACACATACAGATTTGCAAATGCCAGATCCGTTCAGTGCAGCTTGCCTATCCAAGGTCTGGCTTTATTTTGGAGTGGAAGAAACGCACATGCCCACAGAAAGATCCAGGTCAATGTATTCCTGTCCCTCCCATCCTCTTCCACTTAGTTTGTTTGCCTTGATAATTTTGCACCTCTCTTCTGCCTCATCTTCACACATCCCTCTTCGGTTCTTCTGAAAAATGAGATAAAAGTGGGCCATCAGTGTTAATGTTTGCATTAATTCAGAAGTCCTTAGCAATGTAGGTTAGAGCGAACAGACATTTTAGTGCTAATTGAAGATGGAAAATGGAGCACCTTATCCAAGAGCTTAGCTGGCTCGCTCTAACTGGGGAGAGGGAAGAGAGGAAGGGCATTTCTTCAACCTACTCCTTTTTATTATAATTGTTATTTCCCCATTGATTGCAATGAACTCTCCCGGTTTCGAGGCTGACATAGACCCCCACCCCCTTTTCCCAAGCAAGGTGGTTATTAAGCAATGAGAATTTAAAGAACACCTCTGGGAAGTTGGCTGTTTAATAACCTAAATTATAGCTGAGGATTCATTGAACATGTGCAATCTTGTCACCACCGTCTCATTTCCAGTTGGGATATCGGAACCCAAAAGATAATGAAAATGTGTATTTCCAAAGAGAAACCGAAGTCTGTTTTCCTGACAAGACACGTCTTTCTATTTTAATGATTGGAAATAGGGATAAAGTATTCCAAGGGTCATTGCGTAATCCAGGCTGAAGTCTGCTTTATTATCCTTTGCATTAATGTTTCAAAATGTCTGATATTTTGTGCAGATAAAGGTAAAGATTTCCCCTTGACATTAAGTTTAGTTGTGTCCGACTCTGGGGGGTGGTGCTCATCTCCATTTCTAGGTCAAAGAGCCAGCATTGTCCGTAGATACCTCTGAGATCGTGTGGCCAGCATGACTGCATGAAGCGCTATTGCCTTCCCGCGGAAGGAGTACCTTGTGATCTACTCACATTTGCGTGTTTTCAAACTACTAGGTGTGCAGAAGCTGGGGCTATCAGCAGGAGCTCACTCTGCTCCCCAGATTCGAACCACCAACTTTTCAGTCAGCAAGTGCAGCAGCTCAGTGGTTTAACCCACTGCGCCACTAGGGGTCATGCAATCATGTCCGAAGTCCAGCCAGGGGGCCAAATGTGCCCCCCCATTCAAATTTCCACCGGCCCTCTCTCTCCAGGCCTCTCCCCCTCCCTTGACTTCCTTCCACTGTCCCTTTCATGACCACAATCGAAGCCCTCCCATGTCTTCTCTGCTGAAAAACCTCCAGGGAAAGAGACTCCACCAGACTCTGAGGCAGCATATGCCACTGTCTGAAATGACTTGAAGGCACACAACAACAACAATCCTCCTAATTAACTTGATTCTCTCAACAGCCAAAAGCAGGCCCACACTTCCTATTGAAAAACTGGTACATATACGTTGGTTAAAATTATTCTTCGTTTTGCATACTGTATTGTTTTTGCACTACAAATAAGACATATGCAGTGTGTGTAGGAATGCGTTCATGGATTTTTCAAACTATAGTCTGGCTCCACAACCAGCAGAGGAACCATGAACATGTCTTCGGCTTAAAACATGTCTTCAGCTTACCCTGGATGTAAACGATGTAATGTAAACTCAGTCTGAGTCTCTCACTCCAGCATAATTTAAACACAACCCAAACTTTTACATTTGGTGTGTTTTAGCTCACTTTGTAGAACAGGGCTGAGGAACCTGCTGCAACAAAGAAGTCTCTAACTCTGGACCAGTATTTCTTCTGACAAGAGCATTATAGGACTTAACTCGGTCACCCACCATATCAGTGGTCCACTCCCTTGCTCATCTTGCAGTATAACATCTCCCATCGTCTGTCAGCTATGCCTTTCTGCTCTCTAGAATTGGGGAAAGAGGCCAGCTTCTGTAAAAGAATAAATGAACAGATCTGAAATTCAGAATCCACTGAGAAGAAAATTTTACCTCTCTGGGTACTTTGCCAATAGGTAAAGCAGCCCCTATTGGGAGGTGGGGGTGGGTCAAAGAAACATTAGAGCAAGGGACTCTGCTGAGTTACCATTTGTACAGTTTCCAGTTTTCTCACTAGAGGTTTGAACCGGAATTATGCTTTGTTAGTACACAATTTGTTACCTATGGTTTGTTAATTGTCTTTTGGAACAGAAGTTGAGTGAGAACACTCATTTTTGCATCGAAAATGACATTGTACATGAGAATAGTAAATAATATGAGTTGGTAAATTGTGGTATCATGCCCGACAGTTGGTAGTAATCATCCTGGAGTCTGGTAATGATCAACGTACTCTTCAGCAGATTGTCATGATTCCTAAAGAGGTAAGTGTTTCTGACCACTGTCATATAAGGAGGACCTTTCTGATGGTAAGGATTGTTTGGCAGAGGAATATGCTGCTGCCTCAGAGCATGGTGGAGTCTCCTTCTCCAGAGGTCTTTAAGCAGAGGCTGGAGGGCTATCTGTTGGGGAATGTTTTGATTGTGTATTTCTGCTTGATAGAATAGGGTTGGACTGGATAGCCTTTGCGGTTTCTCCCAACTCCATGATTCTGTTTTTCTTCTGTCCTCTCCTACACCAGATGTGGAAGAGGCTGAGAAATGACAAGCTCTTCCTATAAATCAGGTTTAATTCCAGGCAGCAGCTGCTCTCCCTCACACCAGTTATTACTACTACTTGAAAGCTGCAATGAGCAACTTGACAGTTGTAGCCAAAGGGCTTCCTATTGTGATCTAGAAAGGTTGGCTTCTGCTCCTTGCTGTGTCAATGGGAGAACTTGGAAAGTTCAAGGTATTAGGTGTTGACACTACAGAAACGGAGAACTAGCGTTTTAAAAATGGAGAATGCAGTGAAGTGTGGCAGGAAATTTTGCATTATGAAATGTTTCTGTTAAGGATATTATCAGTCATATTGTTCTCTGTGATACTACATTCTCTTCCCCTTGCTCCCCACAAAGGCTATTAGTCATTCTGTGGCTACTGAACAGCCTCATCCCATGCAGAGCTGTCTTGAACTCGCCCTTTTGTAACTTTTCCCACCCCTGTAGATCTTAAGGCTTTCCCAACCCTACTGGTTGGTACCTCTCACTTGCCCATGGATGCTTCCGTTTGACTTCCTAAGGATGTCCAGAAGAGGGTGACTAAAAGGATCAAGGGTCTGGAGAACAAGCCCTATGAGGCGCGGCTTTAAAAGCTGGGCATGTTTAGCCTGCAGAAGAGAAGGCTGAGAGGAGACATGATGGTCATGTATAAATATGTGAGGGAAAGTCACAGGGAGGAGGGAGCAAGCTGGTTTTCTGCTGCCCTGTAGTCTAGGATGCGAAACAATGGCTTCAAACTACAAGAAAGGAGATTCCACCTGAACAGGAGGAAGAGCTTCATAACTGTGAGAGCTGTTTAGTAGTGGAACTCTCTGCCCCAGAGTTTGGTGGAGGCTCCTTCTTTGGAGGCTTTTAAGCAGAGGCTGGGGGGCCATCTGTCGAGGATGCTTTGAATGAGATTTTCCTGCTTCTTGGCAGGGGGTTGGATTGGATGGCCCATGAGGCCTCTTCCAACTCTAGGATTCTGTAATTCTGCTTTCAATTGTGCTCTCCAGATAAGGTGATTTGTAACTCCCATGAACCCTTAGGCAGCATATGTGGTAGGAAGCGGGTCAAGAGAAACTGCCTAAATATTTTTATATATTTTATTTATTAACTTTATTTGTACCCTGCCTCTCTCCCCATGGGGAGGCTTTTAAACAGAGGCTGGATGGCCATCTGTTGGGGGTGCTGTGCATGCGATTTTCCTGCTTCTTGGAAGGGGGTTGGGCTGGATGGCCCATGAGGTCTTTTCCAACTCTAGAATTCTATAATATCTATTATTTGTCCTTGGAGAAGGTGATTGCTATTAGTATATAGAATGGACCAGTTTCTGATTTTATTATCACTATATGGTTCTACTTCATGGAGGTTGGAAATAATTCAAGTAAAATGCCTGTAATGGATAATCATCCTCACTACTACTACTATTTGAGGTAAGAGGACTTCCTAACAAAAGACGGCATCAGTTTTTGATGTAACAAGTAAATATTCAGTTTTGGCTCTAAAATATTGCTTGGGTACAACTTGGAGCCAGTTTTACACTTTTAAGGGTATGCTTTTAAAAGAATGTGTCACAAAATACAGCAGTCTTCAAACAATGAGTTATGCTCAATATTCCTCCCTTTAAAAAGGAACTAATAATGAGTAATGTTTTTAAAGTAGGTTGCCCTACTGCTGCTCCATTTTCTCCTATCCTTAATTTGCTCTGAGATACGTGTGCCTGTGCACATCTGTGTGTGTGCATGAGAGAGAAAGCGTTGGAAAAGCATAAGCATCCCAAAACTCTTCGCCAATATGATGATAATATATTGGATATGGGTTGTGAATTACTAAGAGAGATTTGTTGGAGATTAAGCTTTAGATTCTCTGATCCTGGTAACTCAAATGTAGCGTGCTGTTCAGGCTTGGTTTCGGAGAGACGTATTTCCAGATGCTTAGGATTGCATCGTACCAGCCTGTATCTTAATAACCAGCATCTGGGAGCATCAGTGGAGATGATGTGCGGACTAGCAGACCCAGTTACAAGACTGACATGCAACCTGATGCCTGCCAAGTGGTGATTATTGTGCGTATATGTAAGAGAGGGAATAAGTTGCCTAGGTAACCACAAACCTTTTAGTGTCTAACTTCTGGGGGAAGCAAGGCCTAGAGACCAAGGAGAGAGGGAGAATTATTAGCGTGGCAAAGAGTAGATGCTAAAAGCTCACAGAGGGAATTAGAAGGGTTTACATG